TGGTATCGTTTGTTCCAAGGCGAATTTATACAAGGTGGTGTTGTGTACCACGGCGAAAATCTAAATTCGCCATCAACAACACCTTGTATAAATTCGCCTTGGTTTGATCCCTATTTGTCATGTTTAGGTATGCAGAGGGCAATTTGAAAGGTCCAACGGTAACAAATGTCTGTTATTTGAATGACATATGTTAATATTTTAAATTTAATTAATTTAGCAGGAAAAGTTCCAAAATTTTACTAAATGAAAACTGTGAAACCATTTTATTTGCCTAAATAGGTGTGTTTCCATCGAACAGTATGTTATCAAGGTTGATTAGACATTGAGGCACTATAGGGAATTTTGAAGAAATTGTGGAAATAGCTGATCTCGCCTTATTATAGGTTTTTATTAAATTTTTAGCGCCGAGCTCTTAAAAGCGGATTGTACGATTAATCAATTAATGAGTTATAATAATTTTAATAAATGCGCAGTCCTATTGCAAAATGTGTTGAAACAAATATTTTTAAAAAGTACGCGCATTTTTAAAGAAAATTGTTTGTACATCACTATTATATATGTAATTTGTGTTATTTATTATTACCATCTGGAGATATTATATTCGTTTTTTGTTTTAAAATGTATATTGTAACAAGATCTCATTTTCAAAACAAAAGATTTGTTAAATCGATTTCACGAATTTTATATAAAAAAAATGCTTGGCTGCATCTGCTGTTTGTGATGGTGTGTTAGCAGTATAAGAGTTTTCTTTGGCGTTGTTGTTGCTGGTTTTGCTTTTTCGGCTGTATGCAGTAATTGTTAAATATGCATTTCTTTTGCTTGCGCTTGGTATTGAGTGCCTGCGCTCCTTTGGGGGAGCGCCCCCGACACTCATCTCTCACTTACCTACCGTTCGTATTTTGTATGTAAACAACAATTTATTTATTTTTATACACACAATGTCTTATTGTTTATTTAGCCGCCCTATTCGCGTACAATGACAAAACTTGCCGCTATAACTATTATCATGTTATAAGCAATTGTCACTAGGGATCAAACGATACCACTAAAGTATCGATACTTTTACTCGCTTGTAGTATCGGCAGAAAGCATCGGTACTCGAGTAAGTATCGGATCGAAAGCATCGAAACTCACTCGGTATCGAGTATTTGTACACCAATTTTATTTTATTATACTAAAGCAGAGGTGGCCAAAACTCACACAATCACATATTTAATTTTAGCTAAGCGATGAGAGAATGAAGAGAAAAAGTCGCTCACGCGTCTGATGCAAACAGTGTTGTCAACGATTTCGAGTTGCAAATTATAAAAAAAGGGATTTTTTTATTTTGTGAATAGTGTGAAAGGGAGATATAATATTAAACAATTAACCTTTTAATATAATTTAGTTCACTTGCATTGCTTGCTTAGATTTTTTATTATAATTAAAATTAAAATTAAAACAAAAAGTTTAATTAATTTTCATCACTCTTCTTATTTTGAATTACAATAAAGGAATTTCTTAGCATTATTTTAAATTCTTCTTTTTATTTATGTGCATATGTACGTAATAATTTATTAATTTAATATTTGGGAATAAAGGGAAATGGCGCTATAATGGCGCTTAACAAAAAAGTTTGTCATCAGTGCGATTTCTTCATGACACACCAAACATTGTGCTCTTCCTCCCCATTACTAGTGAGTAAAAAATCTACATCCGAATCCATATTAAACATTTTGACCGTGTATTGCAGCGACTTGATTGCTTGAAAGTTTCGCATCAATTGGGCACGATCATAGCAAAACCATAATTGTCGGCATCACTGATTCATAGAGTATGCTCATGGATGTGTGAAAGCAGCGCAGTTTTTCTCGTGTACGTGTGAAATGGCCACCCTTGTACTAAAGTAACATTAAAAACACTCATCTTTAAAAACTTAAATTTTTTATTTATGTGCAGGTATCTACTTTGCTCCTTAAATTAATTTATATATTTACATAAAAGAATTTTAATATTAATAAAAAAATACATTCTGTGGCACGTTGCTTAAAGACAACAGTTGTCCAAGGTGCTTGCTGGAGAGACGATTTCGGTCTTGAGTTTTTGTGGCTCCCGCTTTAGAGAACAATCGTTCACAAGGAACTAATGAAGCAACAACTACCAAAAATATGCGAGCTTGCTTATATAACTGTGGAAATATTGATTTTGAATCCTCCCACTCTTCTAAGGGGTTGCTTTTTATAGATGATATAGGTGTAGATAGATACATTTAGGGTACTCACAGTTCTATATTATCTACTGTGTTAATTTTGCCACCTGGTAACTTTAAAACATTTTACCATGTGGTAACTTTGTTTGTTGTTGGTTCCCATACTAATTAGAGATAACACTTTTGGGCAAAATTACTTGACTTTGTCTCATGTTTATGTTCTGTGTTAAACTGGCATCTATCGCTGCTTGTACATACATACATGAATTTCGCTTTGGGCGCAGCGCTGCTTGTACATAAGTTTCTCTTTGCGCCTGCCTGAAGCTGGCAAAGGTAGTTTTTTTTTTTTTTTTTTGCGCTGTGCTAGCTGAGTATAAAAAAGAGAAGAGAGAATAGAGAGAAATATGTATGTCGTTTGTTGATGCTCTCTAAACACAAACGCGTGAAAGGCAAACGGTCTAGCAATGCGTGGTATTGTTGATCAACTTAATACTTTATTTAAACATAAGGGTTGCTCACAGTTCGAGTGTGTTATCTTGTTAAAGTTGCCACCTTTTAACTTTAGAAGTAAACTGTGAATACCCTAATTGTCACTTCATCAGACTGACTAATATTAGCTCTTTTCCTTTTCTGTCCCACTACCAAATGCTTATGGTGCTCCCGAAAATCGTAATGCTGTGGAGAATTGGCCTGACAGTTTTCTATTTCAGAGTCACTGCTATTTGTTGGTATTTCATTTTTGATATTTCTGAGTTTTTGTAAAGCGCCACTCAGAGCTACGGGATCTTGGAAATTTACGTTCTTAAATCGCGGATCTAGTAATGTACTAATCGCAGCATGAGTGTTATATTCTATTTTTCCAAACCGTCTTTCCATTTCCAAATTTTAAAACTTTAGCAATTTCATTTATAACTGGGACTGTAGACGAAAAGCTTTGAAGTGCGGTAGTAACACAATTAATTATTGGAATAACTTTCGGTAATGTAATGTAGTTTTCTGCTGATGTTTGTTTTGTTGCATATTCAAAGGGTTTCAATAAAGAAATTAATGGCTTAATTATTTCAATTTCTTGCGAAGTTGGCATTTCGGGACTTAAAAAATCAGCTAGCAAAATTTCTGAGCAAATATTGATCATCTCAATAAAGCGTTCTAGCATGTAATAAACCGAGTTCCATC